TTTTTTTTTTTTTTCCCCCCCCCCCCTGTCTAAAAACTACAGAAGCACTGAGAAGACAAATGTATTTGTTGATTTGCTTGTTGGATAGAGGATTTTGCATAGATATTGGCACTCTTGTATTCTGGCTCCCTCTTCAGCTAGAGAAGTGCAAAATGCCTTACTAACTTTTTTATAGTACAAGATCAATGAGGTTGTTTCAGCATAATTAACTAAATGCAACATTGGCCAAAGGAAGCATCTTGGATGTGAAATGTAATTATTCTGCAGAACATTTTGGCACAAAATAATTGCCAAATCCAAGGATTTAGCAGGATAAAGGACAAAGATTGAGAGTTGTGTAGAGAATGTGAATATTTACATTTATGGTTACAGAAGAGAAACATGTACAAATATATGCGTCTTTTGATCATAAAACAGCTTCTAATTACTTGGGGCTAGGAAAAGAATTTCATTATAGATGGGCAATTCCATAACTGGTTCCATTACAGGGTTTTCTTTGCCTAGTCTGATATCAGCCCTTTTAGTAGACATTGCCGTTGATGGTATGAACTATTACAGGAATTGCCTTGCCATATTACACTTTTCTTTCCAAAGGTTATCTTTGGGTGACTTCAGATTTTTATGTCCTCTGTGTTTAATTTCTTTCTTGCAATTGGCATGAGCTGCTTGACAAAAAAAAGAAAAGAAAGCAAGTTCTTTAAAATTAAGGCTTTTTTAAATCTAATTTTCTTTGAAGTGCCTTGCATACTTGGGTGTATTATAAACAGATGATGCACACAAATTTAATTTACTATTAGCAGTAAAACAAAATATCTTTAGAGAAACTGAAAGCCACTATGTCTTCATACTTGGTGAGTATAAATGTAGTAGAAACAAGGGGTGTTTTGTTACCCCCCCAAAAAAGGGTGCAATGATTACAATTTAAAAATTCCACTGGATTCCAAAACACAGACTTTTGCTCGGCTAGAATTATACAAGTTTAGATTTTTATGTCACTCCTCTGACTTTAATAGTGCCATCTAACTGCATTGTGGCAATATTGTATTATTTGCTTTCTGAAATTATCCGGAACAGATAATTACTTTAGCTTTTCACCATCAAGGTACTAGTCATTGACACTGGGTGCATATCCTTATTGAAACCCTATGATAACATTTATACTTGAGTTTCTGGTTACTGGGTAGACATCACATTTATCTTTATGGTCTTCAGAAGGTACCTTTTTAATGATTAGTGCATGTGAGCTAGGTGGGAAGTGTTCAGCTGGAAGCATGCCACGCTCCCTAATGTTTAACACATTACTATGTCAGTTAATTATATTATTGTTGATATCTTTTACGTCTCTTGTTCTGTTGTATTATTCTTTACTACAGGGGTAAGGTGAAGAATACAGGTTAAAACCATACTCTTATGAAAAGTTAATTATAGTGTTATCTGTAAAAGATTTGTTAAAAGCCATTATTCTTTATTACAGAAAGAATTGAAAGAATGTCTGCGCTGAACTGGAAGCCATTTGTTTATGGAGGTCTCGCTTCTATCACTGCAGAATGTGGTAAGCAGCCATTCTAAACTGTTTATATGACTGGTGCCACTTTAGAAGGTTCCTTATCAACATGTTTAAATTTATGTAGCCTGCAAAATATTGAAGCATCACAGTATCTATTCTGACTCTGTTTAAATTGCTTACAGTATGAAACTTAAACTTGAAGGGCTATATATTTTAATCAGCTAAAAATGAACACATCTAACCAGTTTTTGATCAAGTATCATTCTTTCATATGACAAACAAGTTGAGCTGTCCTTTTATTTTGTTAAAGAAAGAACCGGAGAAATTTAAACTATTCCATACTGATGTGTAGACTAGTGTATAGTAGGAAGCCAATGAGTACTGGCTTTTTTTTTTTTTTTTACACTAATATCTGGAATGGAGTTATCACACAGTACTGATTATATTGGCTCTCAATATCAGGTAATGGGCTATGATGGGCAATTTCAGCTTTCTGTCTAAGTTTGTTGCATTGGCTCTTCTGCTTTTAACAAAGCTTTCTTTGTCAGTGGCAGAAATATGAAAAACCCAGCAACTGGCAAATGGCTTCCACTTCAGATATGAGAGCATTCTTGTGTCGTTATTTATAGTCATCTAACAGAGTGCTAACAAAGTGTGGTAACAGTCTCTCTAATAGCAGATAAAAATTACAGGGAGCAGAACCTGAGAGTGAAACTATTCCACTCCAGTTTTGAGGATTTGTAAATTTTAAGAAGCAGTCTTTGCATACTTTAGAAATATTCAATAAAAGAATAAATGATAAGTTTTGCTTGAAATAAACATAACTTGGCACTTGCACTAAAGGTGGTGAGATGAGCACATTTTTTTTCCTGCAGTTAATTCTCTATCCAGTAACTGAGTCTACGGCTATTTAGCCACACAGAAAATAGAGCATTTATAATGTTTTTAAGGGGGAGCCATTTAGAATTCAGTCATGCAGGCCCTTGCTTTTGAAATTGCTCAAGCCTGTGTAATTTAGTTTTGAAGCACTAGCAGCCACTGGTCAGATATGTACCATCTTTTATTCTTGGTGCAAGAGACTTATGAGATTGCTGTCTGTGTAGAAAATATTGATATAAGGCAGTGGTCTCCAGCCTTTTTAAGTAGGAGATCACATTTGGAATTTAAAAGCAAACCAAGATCTACTGTGCCCCCCTCTCCCCCAGCACGTATATTGGGGGGGCAGATAGAGGAGGAGGGAGAAAACATTAGTTGGGGGCACGTTCCCCCCCAGCAGGTAAGTCTGTGGGGAAAGGGGTGGGGGGAAAGGGAAGGCCCATGGGTGGGCCAGGGCAGGTCAAGGCCCCAGCCCTAGCCCCACACTCTCCCTGACTGCAGGGGCCTCGATCTGCCCCTCCCTCCCCCCCCAGCAGCACTGAGGGAGGGAGTGGGGTAGGGGCAGGCCATGCTGGGGCAGGACATGGGATGGAGGCATGAGTGGCTCATCCTGTGAGCGCGGGGTGGGGGGGGAGCATGCACCACTGGAAGGGCATGGGGGACATGTGCCCCTGGATCTGCACGTGGGGTGGGGCGGGCTGCTGCAGGCTGGGTCTGGGCTCTTCCCAGCAGGGGTGCTGGGCTGTGTTGCGCTCAGGCTGGGTGGCAGCAGTGCTGGAAGCGGGGACAAAGTGGGGGGGGCTGCAGCCACCCAAAAATTCACTGTAGCTCTCCCCAACCCC